GGTTGTGAACAGGTGAATAATAACAGTTTAAGAACTTTCCCCCATTGCCTTCAAATTAACCGCCCTTTCTGTGTTTTGATGACCTGGATCTCCCAGTGGAAAATAGTTGCTGTTTCTCAGTTTCTTGTGTGTCTCTGATTTGTCAAGCTATATCAAGAGAAGATGTTATGTTGTATTAGTTGCCATAAAAGTACCTTTTTTTTTTTCATATGTAAGCCATCTGTAGTTTTGTGGTAGCACCAGAATCCATTTGAAGATCCATATGAGATTAATCTTACTTCACAGGAAGAGTTAAAAATTATCTACTGCTTGTTTCTTTTTTTTTATGTGTAGATGAAGTTAATGTCCTGTGAATTTTCTCTTGGAAGGGCAGGAGACTAAGCTAATAGAATATCTTATATAAATATTCTAAAACAAATGATCAGTAAAGCAAGTTTTCTAAGCATTGTAATTCAAGAATCATTTTAAAGATTCAGTTTCAGAATAGCTTAAACTGATTTCGCTCATTATTACGGTCACTTAATAGTTTTACAAAATTGAGTCATGCTGTTATTTTAATAGTTCGTAGATAGGGTATCAATAGGTATTTAACAGCTTAATTTTCTATGTATTTGTATTTAAAATCAAAGTATCCAAGTGCACTAAATTACACTAGTACATATCTAATTAATAGATGGGGTTTATAGTAGGAAAGGAGAGGAATAGAATTTCATGTTTACCGTACTTTTTCTTCTCCACTGGGAGGTTAAACATGATCCCTAGAAACAACTTAATAACAGAGCTTTCAAGGAATTTATATGAAACTTAGCATCTGCAAAATTTTATGCAAATGTTTGCTCACTTGCAATTTTGTGCTAAACACTATACTATTCTTTTAATTTAGAAAAATAATGTTTATTCCTTGTAAAAGTTCTTTGAAGAATACTGATTTGATCACAAATTGTTCTGCTTCTGTGAAGGAATCCATCAGCAAGTGTGTTTTAGCAGAAGAAAACCTAACTTCGACTGTGAAGCATGAGAGAAAATGTAAATAGATCCTGTTCTGCTGATAGGAGGAGGATAATTTTTCAGCCTTCACTTTCAAATCTGCTTTCTGTTATGCTCTCTGTATTATGTAGTTAATGAAATCCATAAACCTACAAATTTATGAAACAGAAATGTCCATGGTTTGAATAAAGTGGATTAAAGCCATAAAAAGTACAGCTTATGTCATGCTGAAAGAAAGCGGGCTATGGACATGTAAATAAAATGCACATTAAGTATTACTTTCTGGGAATAGCATAGCCTTCTACATGAAGATTTGATTATTTTTCGAGATTGACATTTTCAAAATTCCAGAATGAGCACATGATATTGAAGAGATTTTATACATTCTTTTCTTAGTTTCCTTATGCTCCCCCCCTTATATGGTAGATTAACATTCTGTTTTGCCCAAGCCTCCCACAGAGCTTATACATAAGGTCAGAATTAAGTTTTGGACCCCAGGTTGCCTATTTCCCTCCTTTCTGTTTTAATCGGGTGTGTGGTTTTGGCAAAAAGCCCAGCAAGCCATCAGTCTAACTCTGAGGCCATTATAGAGAAAAAGAGGGACTACCAGTCGTGTTTGCAGTCTTGTTTCTTGTATTTTGCTGGCCCTGGTTGGTTTACAAGGGCAATTATACATCATCTTTCATCTGTAATGCATGTAAAATACTGCCAAAGCAGGAGAGGCCATAAAGACTTATAAACACACATAATTTTTGTCTAAGATTTCTCTAAATATGTGGATATATGAAGAATTTGCATAAAGTTGTGAATCACGGCTTTTCTGGAAGTTGTAGGTCAGAAAATATGAACTCAAAGTTAGTAGCAGATGCATGGGTGGACATACGCATCACTGCTGGAAATTACGGCTTTTGCAAACTCTTTATAGCTTTGCCATAAAATATCTAGTTATGCCAGAATATTTGCTTTGGAGTAATTATATTTTTTCGTGCCACTTGTAAAAGGAACGGTTTGGCTGTGCATAAGATATAAGAAAGTCAAGCAGTGAGGTGTGTTCCTTCAACTTTGCAAGTGCTTTCAGTTATTTAAGAAAATATTACTGGTACTAAGTGAGCACAGTCATTTTAGATCCTAAATTACAAGCTCCAGAGAGTCTTTGCAATTTGATTGCAAATGAACTTTTGCAAAATACATGTTAAATGTTACTTAATTAGCTTTTGGAATAAGAAAAAAAGTATTCAGCAAACTAGTTAACTAGTTTCACAGGCAGAAGTAGCTTTAGCAAGAATTGTAGTTGCATGGAAGCTTTGAATATTTTTCATTGTACAGTGTCATGGAAACAGAATTAGTTTGGTCGTAGTATTATGCCAATATTACATAAGTTATTTTTCTCTGAATATATTCCTGAATGATACTTAGCCAGATGCATGCAAAAAAGCACTATGTTGTAGAGTAGTGTGTAGGTGTCTCGGTTAGGATATGGCAATTTTCAGAAGGATATTGCTAAATCTATTCTGTATTTTTAAACTTAAATTTTCTCCTTTGCCATGCAGACAGAAAAACATAAATAATACCCAGATTCTGGACATTGCAGAATTTCAGTCTTCTGATCTATTTGGCAAGGGCAAGCTACATTTGTCAACACCATTAGATGTGATGCTTTTCAAACAGACTCCTAACAGACTTTATGAGCTATCAGTGTTTTTCAAAATATAATTGTCTTAAAAAATCCTTTCTCCCCCAGGGAGTGTGTGTTTACTGTGCCCATGTGACTGTTTCCTAATAAATATTTACTTTAAATCTAATTGGATTGAGAAAAACATAAATGCAAGTAAGAATATTGTAAAGATCTGAAAGATAAACTTCTTACATACTCAGGACTTGCTTCTGTGATGTATGTTGGTATTAACTGAAGTGGAATTTGAGCATGTTCCCAGATGCTTTACTAAATTGGGAATTCATATTCCCACAAAATTTGCATCTGTCAAAAGTGTTTTGAAAATCCTAAGTGAGATTGTAACCGGCAGGGGATGGGGAGTGGAGGAGATTGAAGTGATCTACTGATCTTGACATTGCTTCTCATTCTCTCATCTGCAGTCTTCAGGTTTTCTAGTGTTCTGGACTAATCTGGAACAAAAGTCAGCAGTATGGGATGTGCCTGCAAGATGAGATTGGTTCTGTTCCTGTCCAACCTTAAGAGTATAAATTCTCA